AGCTCAGGCAATTCACTCACCCCCGCCTCCCAAGGCGCGGGACTACAGGCTGAGCCAGCGAGCCCGGCGACTTTTGGTTTTTGTTTTTCCCCTTCTCAGGATTCAAAGCACACTCTGGCGGTGGGTCCCGGGGCGGGCGTGGGCTCCCAAGTGCTCTTCGAGGTCCGTAGCCCGGGGACCGTCGCTCTCGGGCGCCCCCTGCCGCCCAGGCTGGTCTCTTGCCCGCGGAATGTCTCCCCTCTTCACCAACTCAACGAACCAGTGTAAACGACCCCTCCCTGCCCCAAACACATGCCGCAGAGCAGCTGAAAATGACATTCGGACAGGCCCCAGTATCCCCACCCGTCCCTGCCCCTCGAGCTTCCTGCGCCTCCCAGTCTCGGCCAAGGACAATTTGCACACTCAGAAGTTCAGGGATTTTCGGCAGCGCGACCCTCCTCCGCTTTCTGACTGCCGCGGTTCTTCACGGATCAGGCTTCCTACCCGGACCCTCCACTGCCCCTGGTGGCGGCCACCGTCTTACCCCTTCCTTTGTCACGCTGAGGATGCGGCCGGCCCCCAGCGGAGGTCGCTTTGAACTACGTTTCCCGTCAGCCCCGCTCAACATCGCGAGAGCGCCGGCGAGACTGCCGAGAAGACTTGCGCGCAGACGCGGTCTCGCGTTCTTTTCGAGGTCGGCCTCGTGGCTGCGGGTCATGGCGGCCCCCGTGCGTGCCGAGCGCGGCCGGCAGCCTCGGGTCTTTGGTGATGGTAAGGCTGCGGAAGTGGGGAAACGGGGTGTTTCCTGACGCGGTGCAAGCACACACGGCCTCCCCTTCCTCGCAGACGAGGTGGTGACGATAAACCGGGCTTCTCCCTTCTTGGGGAGGTTGGGGAAAGGCTATCCAGCCAGCGGGGAAGCGTGTTATGTGAAGGGAGGGAGCTCAAGCCCGTCTTCGGCGTCGAGGGGCCCCTCGCGGGGCAGAGGTCCCAGCATCCTTCGCCACCCCATGCTCCTGGAAACCACCGTGTGCTGCGCGTGCACGCCCGGGAGGCTCCTTTGACCTCCCACTGATTGTGGCAGTTCTTCTTTTTTTTTGAGTTGGAGCCTCGCTCTGTCGCCCAGACTGGAATGCAGTGGCCGCTCCCGGCCACCGCAGCCTCGACCTG